TTTTTTGTCAATTATTTTGTTGTCTAAATTTTTTTAGTGCAACACTTTGTGATGACTTTACAAATAAATATTATTCAATGTATTGCAATACAAAAGGGCTATCAATGAGAGTGTGTATAAAACATGAGCTCAAAGAGTGTGTATAACAGGACTATAAACATAAATTACCATGGTACAAAAACAGCGCTGTAAATGGTTAACCTATTAAATAATCATGATTAAGTGTATGATAGCCCAAAAAGTCCTTTTGTCATTTAAAAATTTATTATTAAAATATATTTGTTAATACTTTTTATATTAAATTGCATTTTAACAAATTGACCATTATAAAAATCTCTTGTGTTTTATAAAAAGTTTACATCAGTGATTAAATGGTCAAGTACATAGTATGTACTTAAATATAAACATATGGCATTTCTCGTGAACTATTTATCTTTTTACATCATTTAATTACATGTAAAATATATTTAATTTACTTACAATTACTTACAAAAAACTTACGACTATATGCAATGAAATTACTGTTTAATTAAGTATTATTAAAATGATAATATACGCAAATATTGCACATTATGTTAAGCAATACATTAAATAATATTTATTTGTAAAGTCATCACAAAGTGTTGCACTAAAAAAATTTAGACAACAAAATAATTGACAAAAAATAAGTGCATTTCAATAAAAATACACTACAAATCAATATAACACCGAAACGACAACTCGTCATAAACACAGGATTTGATGTCCGATAATATAAATGCCGCTAAATATTAAATTTATAATTTATATAATATTTATTATCTCTTTTCACACTTTTGCTAAATTAACATTATTCAAATCATAACAGAATGCAATATTGTACAAGTACTCTATTTATTACCTACAAAGTAATAGAATATACAATTATGGTATTATCTATAATAGATATAGATACTATACTGTATATGTAAAATATATTTTTATATTTTTGAAAATAATTTGATAAACAATTTAAAATTACAAATAAAGGTATTTTATTTCATATTAAATCATTATTATATATTTACTGTATAATGATTTAAGTAAATTAATACACGTTATAGTTAATCTATTATTTAAAAATGTTGTGCCAGTTCTCCAGTATAGACATACCTACCGGAGCCCACATTATGGATAGCAGAGCCTTTCATAAAAGTTAAATCAATCACCGCTTTTGTATTGACCGGTATATCAACCTATCATTTAAAATACAAATAAATTAATATTTAAAAAAAATTAAATATAAATTCTCAAAACGTACGGTTAAAGTGATATTAACGCCATTTGTTTCCCACGCACTGCCGATCAGACCATTAATGGACGGGTAGTGGGCTTTCACTGACGTGAGACCGGCGGCCGGTTTCGGTGCGATTATAATCCGTTTGAATCCCACCTCTTCGTTGTCGGTGTCAATACCGGCCACCGATTGGTAGAGCCATCGACCGACTGATCCCAGAGAGTAGT